GCCAACAGTTGGAGTTATTTCAGTTCTTAGTATTTAAACATGGCAGTGCGACCTCCTAGTTATCGCATAGGATTCTTTTCTGGCAGTTCAGGAGCATACTACTGAGAAATGTTCCTTTTAGGAACTTTATAAGCTGTAAGGTTTTAGGATGTGACAAACAGGAATAAAGTGACAGCACTCCGATTTTCCTTACTGGATCCCTACATTGTAAAATGAAGTCTTAATTACCCTCTAAATTTATCTTTTCCTGTTATGCAGCCCACAAAATTCCCTGCCAATCCCCCTACTCCTTTAAGGGAAGAGTTGGTCTGGCCAGTATTGAAAAAGTTCTTCCAGGTATTAGCCTAGAAGAAACAAAAAACGTCAACTGTTTTCTGTGGACTATTCTACAATGTTTACACAGTTCTGGCTTACCCCGTGTCCTTGAACAAGTCAGAAACCAGGGATGACTTAAGTTCTTATGACTTGAAAAATGTCAGGCAGACAACTAGTCTCTGAGCAAACTCAAGGAGCACTCAACTAAAAACTTTGTTTGCACAGACGCAAAGGCATGGAAATTTATACGGCAAGGTCTGAATTCCAGAGTTTGTTTATTTTGAATTACACACCCAACCGAATGCATAAAACCCCACAAAATGATTGCAGCAGAAATGTCATCTCTCCTATTTTCAGGCTGAAATATGGAGTACATAAGAGCAAGGCTGCCATATATTTCCATAGTCATAGACTTACAACTGAGGGAAAAACCACACACACACCCAAATCTAACAGTGGTAAACAATTTTTATTCAGGCAATGAAACATGGAAAAAATATATTAGTAATCATTATAATAATTTCATTTGTGTGAGTGTAACTTTTACAAATATTTACCTGACATATAAAAAAGGAAATTATTGTGCATATAAAACTTATGCAGATGATTACTCCACACAACAGTCCCGACAGCAGCAGTCAACGTGGTGCCCATTCTGGACCAGGGGCTTCTCACACACCTCATGGCACTCGTGGGGACGCAGGGGAAGCAGATGTGCAATTCACGTTACTTATTGGCACATTAGTACATATGGACATCTAGTGGCAAATACACACTTGCTAACAGCAACACTTGAAAGTTTACTGCTACCTCTGAGAATGAAAAAAATGCCTGGATTCCATTCCAGTGGGGGTGAAGAAGCGAGGCTGAAGCTGTGGGTGTGGTAACCTCCGGATTGCCCTGTACCTGAACTGCGGGTTGTTTCAGAGTTCACATTTTTGTAAGACCATTTGAAAATGATTCATAAATGCATAATACTGGTTAGCAGTATTACTTGGAAATACTTTTTGGAGTGTATTTCAGATGCCACGGAAAGGCAGAGTTGGAAAGTGGCATCTTTATAGCTCTAAAATGAAGAGTGAATACAGGGAAGGGTCAGACCACACCTTTGCTCCAAGCCTGGCTTTCTTCATGTGAGTTAAAGCATTATACAGACTGCCACAGGCCAGCATCACACGCAACATCTCCACATTAGAACTATAACCAGAATATATATATATATATATGTATATATATATATATAATAGCTATAACCATAATATAGTTAATAAAGTCATTCCTTAGGAATCTTGTTTGTCCAAATCTAACTGCATGCTAAGAGGCACAGAAACGGGATTGCATTGGGACAAAAAAACTACAAAAAGTGCAATCTTTAGTCTCCAGGATGCAAGCTCTGGCACTAGGGAATGGGTCTTCACTGGAGAATGCTGCCATGGACACTGGCTTCCAGAGAAGATCCTCTGAGAGAAGAGTCTATTAGAGCAGTTCCTTCACCCTTTACTATCAGGGATACTCAAGGTTTGAATGGTGAATTTTTTTTTTTTTTTAAATTGGAGACTGGAAGTCAATCAAGCCTTCTGGACAGAAGTCTCCTTAAAATACTCTTATATGGCTGCTTTTAGGGGACAAGTCAGTTTATTCTCCCTGTTCATAGCTAGACAGAACTAATATAGAGTGGTGTAATAAATATCTAAGTATTTGTGTGAGTTGTACAACATCTGGGATGAGTAGAAAGGGTAACTGGCTGGAAAGAAAAGTCAACTTGAGCTATCCTCTAACAAGAAACACAAGCCTTCCCTTCACTTCCATACTATTCTGGAATGCTGCCGGATCCTCAGAGCTTTTCACCATCATGTGTTTCTGCACTTCCTAATTTGGCTGGGTCTGAAGAAGCTAGAGACCACGTGAGAAAACCAGGCTTCTCAATCATTCCAGAACAGTTTTACAGAACAAAAGGTTTGGGTAGGTCACGGGAATCAAGGAGCTTCTCCAAATAAAGGAAATCTCTGGCGGTCTGGCTGTAACAGACTACCTAGCTAACCAAACTACAAAGCGTTCAGTCTGCCTTACATCATATTCTCCACCTAAAATACAGTTAGATAAAGTCTAGTGATACTTTGGCTAAGTCAAAAACTAAAGAAATGCTTCTGGATTCAGAGTCTCAGCAAAATCACCTAATGCCCCCAAACCACTTCCTAAGGCTGCAGCTTCCTCATGTTTTCCTTTTTCACTTTTGTCACAGGGTTATTATTGCTTAAGTAACATGTAATTTGGCCCCCGCATGTTTTGAAGCAAAACTTTAGACTACATTTGCACTCTTCAGAGTTCCGAAAGTTTTTTTTTTTTTTTTGCTTACCTGATTTGCCAGCTGTACAAAGCTATATTTTTGCTCTTTTTGGAAAGCATCCATCTATTAAATTAAAATTAAGAACATCTTCATGTAATGATCAAGACTGAAAGGCCAGTGGCAAATATGCCTTAACAAGGACCCTTTTGTATTGCTTGTCAGCAATGTCATCCCCTAAAGTCTAGTTTTTAAGAGTATCTTCTACCAATGTGCTAGGAAAGGATTGTCGTCACTTGTGTTATAACACATAGCTACCTTTTTATACATAATAAGCCTGAAAAGAAGAAAAAAAAACCTATGGATTTATAATGGAGACCATAAAAAGCCTTTTATGGTTAAAACAGATCAACAGAAAACAAGTAAACATGGTTATGTCTCCAAAACACAGCAGCAAAAAGTATAAGCAATGTTTCTGCAGAAAGGTAATTTCCCTAGTAGTGAGGACCATGGCTGAAAGAGGAAATTGGTTATACCAATAGGAGACACTTGTATCTGACATTACAACTATCAGTACAGCATTCACATTAAGCCACAGTAACTGCTTTCAAAGCCCAAATGATTGTCAAGTCACTTCTCCAACCAAAGAAAATGTCTGTTGTTCTTTTTTTATACAAAATGTTAAGACAACAGGCTTTTAAACACAGCCTAATCACCAATCATGATAAATGCATATTGGTAAAACGTAACTTCTGGCTTTAAAAGACATTGACTTTCCTGTGGCTAAAGATCGCACCCATGTGAACAGTACACTGCTAAGGAAAAAGTCATTCTTTAAGATTTATAAAGGTTCTCTACTAGGCACAATTAATTGCTGAAGTTGGATCATGCAATAATTTCACAAGAAAAGGAAGAAAACTTACACTGTTATACTGAATATAGTGCATAACACCATGAAGATTTTCAGGGTGTAAGATTAAGACAAGAGAGTGCTTTAAAACACTTGCATGGATTTGGTTTCACCTATCAAGTGGAAGGGAATTCACTGGTATTGCATGGAAAACTGTTTTTGGGGTCAATGTCCCCACCATTCTGAACTGAGTCCAGTAAGAGCTTGAAGAACTTGGTTTTGTGAGTATGGACCTTCTCCCTGGACCCTTCTCTTCCAGAATTCAAGTTATTCCTGTTTAAAGATATTAAAACACACTGATTTTTGGAGTAGTTCACATGATGTTTACTGCCTGTTTTGTTAAAAGTTCTACTATTTTAAGTTTTAAAGAATTTTTTGCTTTTTAAGAAACATTTGAAGACAATTCATCATACTCGTGTAGGGGAGAATAAAACTGATAATTGTTTCTCTACCTTGTAATTGCGATTGAGCAGTTACCTTTTAATTAAACAAGATCATCTAAACCTTTTGTAAGTAGATTTTCTATGGATATTTCAAATAGTAAACTACTAAAGATTAAATGGTGATTTCTGTTTCAACAAATGGAAGCAGAGGAGACACATGGCTGTAGACGGACTGGCCAAACCCCAGCTTTAGGGAGTCCCCTGGTTTTCATGCAGAAAGCAGACACTCCTTTCAGCTGGCGACTCATCCCAAAAGAGCCAAACCTGTCAAAACTAAGGAGCATCCAAATACCAGGGCAACAAAACATGGCAAGGAGTCTTTTCCAGACATGTACGAAACATGAGTCTGGACCTATGAGTCATAAAAGACACAAGGCTGGGGTCTTTACATCTTTAATCTCCCAAATTCTTAAGCTGGCATTCTGAAGGACTCTTATTTCAAAACAGGGTTTTATATGTATGGGGACATGTTCTTTTGCAAAGAAATTTTTGACTATGCTCCAGAGAAAATAAAGAGCAGCATGTAGAAATGTGTATGTGTAGATGGGTAGGTAGGATCCTTTTCGTTATAAACTTGAGGTAACAATAAGCCAAATTATCTCCTCAAATAAAACACGGATGTTGAAAATTAAATTCAAAAGATTAAATAATAGGTCACACACCAAAAAACCAAGGGTAGTGGGGAAAGGAGATGACTCCAAACAGTAGTCACAAAGCCACAAATTTAACACACTTGGGAAATTAAAAATGACTGTAAAACAGACTAAAGACAGAGAAGTTGCAAACCCTAACTCAGCAGCATGTGGAACTGAGCTTCACGACGAGAGCTGTGAGACCGTCGGCCCCCCTCCTTTCCTGACTGTGTAGGACCCTAGGGTTTCTTCCAGGCTGTCACACTGGCAGCAAAGCGGGACAGGCAGCAGGAGGCATGTGCTTTTTTTCAGTTTTTTTTCTTCTGCAAAGGGGCAATTATTCCTGGATAAGGCAAGATATTTGTGGTCACGAGGGAAGCAGCCGAATGCAGATCTGCTGGAGTAATGGGGGAAACTCAGTCGGTCTTTCCCAGCTTTGCAATCAGCTCATCACAGATTTTTGTCAATTCTTCGATCTCTTGGTTCTGAAAGATAAATGATGCCCTTATGCAGGCCCCTCTGTCTTCTGAAATCAAGGCATTTATAGCTTAAACAGTGCCAAGGATGGCTCTACCCATCTTTACTCAGTGGTTCTCACCCTCACTCATCATGCTTTTGGTTGTTGTGGAGTTGATTCTGATTCATGGTGATCCCATGTGTGCAGAGTAGAACTGCTTCATGGGGCCAAAGGTTGTGGCCTTTCAGAAGCAGATCACAGGTCTGTCTTTCGAGGTGCCTCTGGGTGAGTTTGAACTGTCAACCTTCTGGCTAGTCATTAAGCATGTAACCATTTGTACCACCCAAGGGCTCCTTCAACACATGCTAGAACCCCCTTAGGGAAATGAAAGCTAAAAGGCTTCTCCCCTGGGAAATGTGCATATACTTACAAAACTATGCATAAATTGAGTAGGGATGAATGTGGTCACCAAACCTCTGAAACCTGTCCATGGGCCTCTTAGTTCCCAACCTCCTTGTTATTACAGGAATTACCTGCGAGTGCCTGCTAAAAATCAAAAGTACCTGGGACTTACTCAGTGTATCAGCATCTCCAGGGACCCAGGATTCTGAAGTCTTACTGAGTATCCCAGGGAGTTATCAGACCCTGTAAGAAAAACCTCTCCAAAAAAAAAACAAACCCAAACCCACTGCCATCGAGTTGATTCTGATTCATAGTGACCCCCTTTGGGTTTCTGAGATGGTAAATCTTTACGGAAGTAGATCGCCTAGTCTTCCTTCCATGGAGTGGCTGTTGGGTTTGAACCACCAACCTTCTGGTTAGCAGTCAAATACCTTAGGCACTACACCACCAGGGCTCCAAGAATAAACCCTGATTTAGGTGAATGGATGTCACAGGCATTAGTACCTAATTAGACACATGGCAAGAAAAACAATAGGGACTGAGCATCAGTGAGAAAAAACTGCTACCACTGTTTTTCATTTATCTACAGCAGAGTTTCTCAGCCATGGCACTATTAATTAGCATTTTGAGCCAAGTAAGGCTTCACTGAGGGGAGCCTGTGCATGGTAGGATATTCAGCAGCACCCCTTGCCTCTACCCAGTAGATGACAGTAGCATCTTCTAGTCATGACAGCCAAATAAAAACATCTCCAGACAGCACCAAATGTCCCCTGGGAGGCAAAATTGCCCTGACTGAGAACCTCTGATCTACAGCACGGAAGGAGGAAGATGGCAGCTCTGTCCATTACATTAAAACAAAAAGTGAAGGGAAAATAACTGGCCTCATGACTCCAACTAAGAAATGTCTGCTTCTGAGCTTCAGTAAAATACAACTTCCTCTTTGGAGATGAACTGCCTACAAGTAATTCCCATATAATATGCCAGGAAGTTTAATGGGCTTGCCTTTAGAGAGCAAAGGGGCGGTCATCTTGTTAGTTTCCAAAGAAGAAGGACTGAAGCATCTGAACCGAAAGGCCACATTCATCCAGGTCCATTATAAGCTAAATATACCAAGCACCAATGGGAGCGCCCGCTGAGGAGGAACCGTCTCTGTTGTTGTCCCTACCAAACCCCTTTCTGTACCTTCTGCTGCAGGGCCCTTTCCAGGGACTCCACCTTCATTTGCTCTTTCCGGAGCCCAGCATGGAGAGCGGCACTCTCAGCCTTTGCTTTTGTTCGAACCTGAGCAATCTCTTCATTGGCTCTGTTTATGGCGTTTTGTTTGGAGAATAAAGGGACAAAAAGTACGTGGTTAGCCATCAGATACAGTTAAAGAGTCAGGATACTAATCGCTGACAGCCATGACACATGGACCTAAAAGAACAGACTTAATGACAGGAAGGAAAATAGGAATCAATGATTTAAGTATCTAAATAAATCAATTTTGATTTATACATCTTTAATCTATACAGAATTTCTGGGGAAATTTCATGTATCAATCAACAGTAAAATCAATGTGAAGGGCCATAATATGCATTACAATTCTTATTTCAGTAGAAAATGAAATAACAACATTTTCTGTAACAATTTTAGATTTTTTTTTTTTTTTAAAAAAACCTCAATAGCAGGCAGGATTATATAGATTGTTGCAGCTACAGAGTCAAGACACAATCTGTTGACATCTGTAAGACATAAACTTAAGGGAAACGATTTTATTAATGAGATGCTAAAACAAAATGTTAAAAACTTAAGTGTCAGCTGATAAACAACCAATTAACTAATGAAAGGATGCTAAAACCTCATTAGGAATTATAGGCATGCAAATTAAAACTCTAAAGCTTTTTTGAACTTATTGGCAAAAATTAACAAGGATGATCTTGATCTGAGTTGGCAGAAACACAGGGAAACAAGCAGTCTCACAAGTTGATGGTACGGATGAAAACTGATACCGTCTTTGTGGAAAGCAACGTCGTAGTAACTAGTCAGAAATTTCACTAGCATTATTTGACACAGAAATACATGTGAAACTACCTAAATGCTCATCAATAAAGGAATGGTATAGTCCTACACTCTGTTTTAAAAAACTGACTGAACCATCTGTTCTGACATGGAAAGATGGCCATGATATACTGTTAAATGAAAAAGGAAATTTATGTAGTATGACTTCAATATTATATTTTGGAAAAAAGTCCTGAACTGTTTTGAATAGTATTTGTAAAGGCACAAAGAAAAGACTGGAAGGATATATAGTCAACCTTTAATAGCAGTATTTCTGGGAAGTGAGAATGGGAAATGGGAACTTAAAAGTTTTTAGAAATAGGAAAAGAGCAAAATGTGTAAGTACGTATTACTTTCTGGTTGAAAAAATAAAATTGGATGCATCCTTCACACCATTCTCTGGGAAAAATTCCAAATGTATTGGATGTTAATGTTAAAAAAAATGAAGCCCTAAAAGTCCTGGAAGGAAAACAAGGGAGTTTATTTTATACCCACCCTGGGAAAGATCTTTGTTACTATGACAGGAAATCTAGAAGCTCTAAATATGTAAAATGACAATAAGAAAATGGGTGTAGAATATGTATAGCCACTCATAGTAAGACAAGCATCTGAAAAAAGAGCTGCTAAAACATGCTCAATCTCACTTATAAGATAAATACAAATCAAAACTACACTGAGACACCATTTTCACCTACTACAGTGGCAGAAACCAAAAACGTGACCTGTTGACAGAGCACTAGGGAAAACAGGTGCTCTCATGTATTGCAGGTAAGAACACAAATTGGTATTAGTCTAATGGGGGCAATTTTAGAATATTTCTCATATTCTAATTCTATAATTCTATAAGTTTATATATCCTTTGGCCCAGCAATTAATTTTCTAGGTAGTATTACACAGATAACTTACATGCATGCAAAATGATCACTAGACAAGGTTATGTATTACAGCATTACTTACAACCACAAAAGATTTTAAATAACCTAAATGTCCAGCAGGAGGGGACTGGTTAAATAAATAGGATCCATTCCAACAGTGGAATACTATGCAGCTATTTAAAAAAAAAAAAGAGGAAGTTCTTGATATAGAAAGATCACCAAAATAGACTGCTAGGTGAAACAATATGCTATCATCTGTATAAAAAAAGAGATGGTAAACAGAAATTAACAATAGTGATTACATGGGGTGGTGGATGAGATAGGAATCCAGAGGAAAGAGGACAAGGGTGGGAAGGAGACACTGTATGTACCTTTGTATAGTTTTTAATATTTGAATGCTGTGAAGATGTTACCTATTCAATGAAGTTAAATAAAACACACATACAAATGCAACCCAGAGCTGCAAAACAGTGAATGTTATGGCCTCTGTCATTAAATATTCCTATAGCATCTTAAGAGTGAAATTCTTATTTCCAAGCTCTTACTTGTCTAGTTTCTCTTCTGCATGAATTTTCAGGGCCTGATAGCGTTGTTCCTCTTGTTTCACTCTGGCTAAGTAGTCCTGAGCACATTTTTTCAAGGCTTCTTCATTCTGTTCCAAAATGATTATTTAAAATAAAAGTGGTCATTTTGTTTTTCATCTACTAGTAACAGACCACGTGTCAGAGTTTTCATTTTTTTAAATGAGAAAATCTAACTAATTCAGATGGCTTTCATTCATACTCCACAGTAATCTGACAGGCACACAAAATTCTCACTGAAGAAGCTCTAGCTAACTAATTTTCAATATCATGCAGTAAGGTTCAGTATGTCAATATTTTACTTTTTCAAAAGTTTTTTTATGGTGGTAAAATATATTACAGTCAGTCCTCCATATCCACAGATTTTGTGTTGTGGATTCAGCCAACAGTAGATTGAAAATATTTGAGAAAAAAACAAAAGCAATGAAGTGGTCAAAGCAACCCTTCAAAGTCTAAAATGGAGCAGAAAGTACTATTACATGCATTTACACTGTATTTGCTATTATAAGTAATCTAGAGACGATTTACAGTGTATGTGAGGATATGCCTAGGATATATGAAAATACTTTATGCCATTATATGAAAGAGACTTCAGTATCTGTGAATTTTAATATCAGTTGGTGGTCCTGGAACCAACCCCTCCCAGATACTGAGGGGTGACTGTAACAATAATTTTTAAGTATACAAACTCAAAACCAATCCAAACTCACTGCCATCGAGTCGATTCCAACTCATAGCAACCCCCATCGGGTTTCTAAGGCTATAAATCTTTATGGAAGTAGACTGCTCCATCTTCCTTCTGTGCAGCAGGTGGTAGATTTGAATTGCTGACCTTCTTCTGATTAGCAGCCAAATGTCTTATCTACTACGCCACCAGAAACCAAAACCAAAAAAACAAACTCACTGCCCTTGAGTCGATTTTGACTCACAGCGACCCCCTTTGGGTTTCCGAGGCAGTAAATCTTTACAGAAGTAGATTGCCCAGTCTTCCTTCAGTGGAGTGGCTGATGGGTTTGAACAGCCAACCCTCTGATTAGCAGTCAAATGCCTTAGGTGCTATGCCCCCAGAGCTCCTTTCTTCTAGAACATGCGGCTTGACTTTCTCAGTAATATTTCTCCTAATACTGAACTGGTGAATTATCAAAAAGAACATTTTTAGAATTCTCCTAAGGTCTGAGAGTTCCAGTTCTTACACTGGCATGGGTTTATTGGCATGTGACTCAGCAGAGGAATACCTGCTGTCCAGTAAGCCAGATGCCTAAACAACCACAGAAAGGAGGGAAGCAAACAAACAAACAACAAAACTCCAGTCTCATTAGAATAGAAGATGCAAAGCTAACAGAGGTTCTAAGCCTCAATTTAAAAAACAAGCCATACCTTTGGCATATGTTTGAAGAACCATTACCAAGAAAAGACACTAGCAAGAAGAGAGAAGGAAAAAGACACACCACCTTCTTGAACCCTTCCAAGACTCCTTTCAGGTTCTCGTATCTCCTGAAAAGATCAGAAAGGGACCTTTCCACAGAGTTAAGGTCTGCCAGGGCCTGCTCCTTCTCCATGGTCAGTTGCTGGAAGCTCTTCTGAGAGGTCATATTTGTCCTTTGCTCATCTTCTGGAATCAGGAGTGAAAAGTAACAACATATTTACTGAACAAATAGTCAACAGCTGCCCTCCACAAGCTAAGCACTGTTCTCAGTGGTTCTTCTTCTCAACAGTTAAATTCTAGTCAGTAATATTGAGAAAAAAAAAAAAAAAAAAAAGCAGGGCAAAAGGGGTAGGAGTTACTGTTTTATATGGAGTGATCTCCCTCAGTGGCAGATGTGAGCAGAGACCCAAGAGATCTGAGGGCAGGAGCCATGTAGCCATTTGAGAGAAGACTTATTACAAAGAGAGGGAATTAAACCAAAAAACAAACCAGCTGTGGTCAAGTTGATTCCGACTCATGGTGACCTCGTGTGTGCAGAGTAGAACTGCTTCATAGGGTTTTCAGGTGGTGACCTTTTGGAAGCAGGTCACCAAGCCTTTCTTCCAAGGCACTTCTGGGTGGGTTCAAAGTGCCAACCTTTCAGTTGGTAGTTAATCACTTAACCATTGCACCACCCAGACGCTCCTAGAGAAGGAACAGCTGTGGTAAAAGGCCTGGGGCAGGAAGGCATTTGGTGATGAGAGCAGCAGAGAATATCAGAAGGGTTGAAGTGCAGAAAGACCAGATTTTATTTTAGGGAATCAATCCTTATAATATAAGCTAGAAATGGCTCTAAATTCAATGCAGTAGGATCTCCTACCGTCATTTGATAAAAATGACAATGGGTCTAATGTAGGGAAAGGGCCACTTGCAGTGGAATAAGGAGCAAGCCTGTAGAATCGATTCTGACTCAGTGACTGGACAAGACAGAGTAGAACTGCCTCACAGTACTTCCAGGGCTGAAAATCTTTGTGTAAGCAGACAGCCACATCTTTCTCCTGCACAGTGGCTAGTGGGTTCAAACTGTCAACCTTTCAGTTAGCAGTCACACATTTAACCACTGCACCAACAGGGCTCCTTAAGGTTTGGGACACTGCACTACAAAGGAATCCCACCCCAGGCGTATTAATGATATGGTGAAGCCCTCCAATTCTGGGTACTGGATGTAGGGCTTTTTACAGAATTGAAGTGTCTACCATCTTCTGAAATGAATAGACACTCAAGCTGAACAGAGGTAGGAGGGTGACTGGGCTTATACCTATGAATATATACAGGTTTGAGAGAGGGTATTTCTACATATGTATTCACATGTGCTGCAAATATATCTGTGAATACAGTAGAGCAGACAGGGAGCAAAGCTATGCAAACCTCTTAGTCATAACCAAACACCCTGAGGGAATGAGTCACTGGGCCCGGGACCATACTCTCAGGGGACATGAAGATCAACTGGGATAACTCAGTCCACAAACATAACGTTCTCCACATCCTACTCTGGTGAGTGGCAACTGGGGTCTTAAAAGCTTGTGAGCAACCATCTAATAAAGGACAGCTATTGGTCTCTCTCTGTCTGGAGCAAGGAAGAGTGAAGAAAATCAAAGATGCAAGGAAACAATTAGTTCAAAGGTCTAATTAACAGACCACATGGAACCCAACCTCCACAACCCTGAGACCAGAAGAACAAGCAGATGATCTCCAGCTACTACTGCTCACTACTCTGAAAGGGATCACAACAGAAGGGACCAGGTAGAGTGGGAGAAAAATGTGGAACAAAACTCAAAATTATAAAAATGACAAGGCTTACCAGTTTGATAGAAACTGGTGGAACCCCTGAGGCTACAGCCTTTAGACACCCTTGAACTCAGGAAATGAACTCACCCCCACGGCTCAACTTTCAGCTCAATGATAGACAGGGCTATATGGTGAACAATAATACCAGGAAGGTATGCACTCATCAGAAGAATCAAGCATATGAGGTAAAAAGGGTAGCACTTGCCCAGGGATATAGGTAAGAAGGCAGGAAGGAATAGGAATGAAGGATGAAGAGAAACGTAAACCCAGGGAGGAAGTGGGAAGAAGAGTGCTGTTACATTGCAGGGATGCAATGAATGACACAAAACGTGTATGAATTGTTTAGTGTTCTGTAAATTTTCACCCAAATCACAATAAAAAAAAATAATAAAATGAACCCAGTTATCTACATGACAAACAATTTTAAGTTTGCACAGTGATCTGAAAATCATTCATTGAATTCTATGGCTAGAATCCAAGATACAAATCTTCTCCTTACCAATCATTTGGGCAATGGTCTTCTCATATTCAGCCACAATTTTCCTAAATAAGGGGAACAAAATAATTTATCATCAGATAAGAATTTTCAAATAATGGAAGATGGAGAAAAGCTGCTCCAAACAATTAAACTCATGAACATACACTGACAACCCACATTTATATAACCCATTTATATCTGCTTTGTGGTTCTCTTTTTCAATATTAAGATTTATGAAAGTCCAAAAAAGTATTTCTTAAGATTTTTCATTTAACAAGCTTTCTATTCTATTTATAGAAACAACTGCCTTCACTTTTCTTTTCTGCCTATTTGAGAATTTCAAGGCAACATACTAGTTACTAAATTAATCTCTCATAAACTAATGAAATTTGGGGGGGACCTGAACAATCAGATCTGACTTGAGGCTTTCTTGGCCTCGAATCACCCTTTCAGGCACTCCATTCCCTCTGATTCCCTTATAAGTTTTATTTTGCTCTCCTAAGGAGCTCTGGTAGCTTAGTGCCGAAGGCACTTGACCGCTAACTAGAAGGCTGGCAGTTCAAACCCATCAGCCACTCCTCGGAAGGAAGATGGGGCAATCTACTTCTGTAGTGATACTGCCTCGGAAACCCAAGGGGGGTCGCTATGAGTTGGGTCCGACTCGATGGCACATAACAACAACAACCATTCTGAAAATATTTCACTTATTTAGAGACTGTAAAGCTCACCCCCCTCATATTAACTTCTCTCTTGGTGAAGTGAAGCAATGGTGTTCTGACCCTGTCCAGTGCCCTGGGCTATTCTCTGTGATCCTTTGAAGGAGAAATGAACACCTGTCCCCAGGCCTCTCTTGTGGTACCTGTCACTTTTTACACAGCATCCAACAAGGAGACCCTTATGATGTGTACTGTGAGCTCCCTATGGCCATGAGCTACCCCCTCACTCTCCACCAACCCAGCACAGAGCTAGCTCTACACCAGTAAACACTCAGTAAATTACTAAGAGTCAAAAATAAGAGTGGGCATATTTTAAATGTTTCTTAATCACTCAAGTGCTGACTATACAGTGGATGAATCATTAACATTCTTTTTTTCTTCTCTTCTTTGACATTATATTTAACTATTTCATGGCTCATAACTCTCTAAGGAGTGAACAGGAAAAACAACAAGTTATCAATTTAAGGTCAGTCAATTCTGTTTCTTGTTAACATGATTTTTAAAATCTTTCTGATGGATATGGAATTTGAAGCTACTATTACTCTTATAAGGGAGCTCTGGTGGTGTAATGGTTAGGGCACTTGGCTGCTAACTGAAAGGTTGATGGTATGAACCCATGAGCTGCTCCATGGAAGAAAGATGAGCTATTCAGCTTCCATAGAGATCCCCAATGGGGGTCGCTATGAGTCAGAATCAACTTGATGGCAGAAAAACTGGTTTGGTTTATCACTCTTAGGAAGATTTGGTGTTGCTGTGTGCTGTCACGTTGACTCCCACTCATAGTGCCTATACAGGACAAAGCAAAACTGCCCTGCAGAGTTTCCGAGGCTATCATTTTTATGGGACCAGATAGTCAAGTCTTTTCACTCACGCACCAGCTGGTGGGTTGGAACCACCCACTTTTCAGTTAGCAGCTGCACGCATAACTGCTACACCACCAGCATTCCTTTTCAGAAAAATTATATACCCTATGGGGCAATTCTACTCTGTCATATGGGGTTGCTATAAGTCAGAATTGACTCAATGGCAACTAACAACTACATCTAAAATTAATTTTTAAGAAAGTATTATAAATTTCATTTCCCCATAATAGAAGATACCAATAAATCATATTACTTTGCATTTCAAATAGACATTTTTGCATATATTTATGCCATTTTTTCAAAACACAAGAATTATATGGTTTCTGCTTACTTCTAATGTGCTAACCAACCCGAGATAAGCTATGGTATTTGAATATAGTACCTGCCAGCAACAACTCATGAAATGACATTATCAGTCACATAAAGCAAAGTGCAAAGAGCAGAGCCCTGAAGTTCTCAAGAGTTGGTTCTGCAGTAAACACTTCCATCATTTTATCTGTAGTAAACTGAATAGTGCATAAACGTACACTCCTGCTGCCCCAAACCTCAAGTCTAACCTCATCTCCAGGACTTCTTGTCGAGTCTCCTCATACTTTTTCTTCCATTCATTTGCTTCAAGCTCTTTAGTGATTATCTAGATTTTAAGAGAAACAAAGCCTGGTTAATTAATCTATTTTAACAGTTTAGATTTTAGATTAGAGACTGGAGACAATGTACAACCAGACCCATACTGAGGCATTCAATCTATATTAGGAATGTAAAACTTCAACAACTACATCTTATGTTATAAATATTTGGAAAAATGTACTTTTAGCCACATGTGATCCTGTAATGAAGCCATGACGGTAAAAGCAAGCATCTCCCAGGACAATTCCAAGAGGTATTTATAGGCTCTGTGAATTTTGGTTGGAATACATTTGTTTTATCTGTCTGTAAACAAGGTGTTTTAATAATTAGAGCATTTTTACAAATGCACATTAAATGAGATGAATGAGACTATACCCCAGATGCTGTAAAGTACAGGTAAAGAAAAGGACAAACCAGCAACATTTGTTTTCTAATCTGTACATTATCCACAAGGCCCTTAAAATAGAAGCAAATCCTAGAATGTCCCTAAGTATTGCCATTTAAAAGAAACCCTTAATAGGTCATTTAAAATTCATCTCAAACAGCAACAGTTCATTTTAACAATAGGTACATATGAAAAAAATTCATCACAACACAGACATGTCCACAATGACACAACTTCATACATATAAAAACTCAAGTTGGAAATAAAAACTGGTCTTATAAAATAAGCTGGACACATTAGACAATGGGAAACCTAATGTTCATTACAGTTGCTTTTTACAATTTGACTAAAGAGTAGAACTGATGTGCAAAGACAATGTCAGAAAAAAAAATGTGAACTATTGCAGTGATGGAATAGCCCTGGGGAGTCAACTGTATGGTTACTGTGAGCTCATGGGAAGAAGTGCCTACAGACCTATCTGCCTAGCAGAGACTCCCCTTAATCAAAGTCACATAATTATAGTTATTGCCAGAGCACCAATTTTATTTATGATGAGATAAAACTGCAATAAAATCGAAATGTGAGGGTTAAGATTTCTGACTGCTTGGTAAGTGATGGTTAATTTTCTGTGTCAAACTGGCTAAGTTATGGTTCCTAAGTGGTATGTCCAAATACTAGACTAGTTGCTGTTCTGTAATGTAATCCAATGTAATGTAATGTAGTCACCTTCCATCATATAATCTAGTATGATGTAATCAATCAGTCAATTGAAAGGGGAGTTCCTTAGGGTACGGTCTGCCTCCAGACTATAACTAAATATATTGTGGTAGAAATCTTTCTCTCAGCTCGGCACCCTTTATGTCACCCGACCTATGGATCTTGGGGCAAAGACTGCAGAGTCCTTACCCATGGATTTTGGACTTGCCAGCTCCTCACGGTCCCGTGAGTCAATCCCTTGAAATAAATCTCTCTCTGTATATAAATATATCTTACCGGTTGTGTTTCTCTAGAGAACCGTAAGACAACCTCAGACTCTATTTTCCCTGCAGGGCTTGGACTGGCCCTGCCAAAACTGCCATCATCCTACTGTTACTGTACCTCCCTGGCTATGGTTCCCTCCGATCCATCCATTCTTTATTTTGGTGCCTTTGATCCAGATCCCAGGAAACTAGAAGCTATTCTGTTTGCTTCCAGTAATAAGGTACATCTTTGCTTTGATATATTAGGAGTCCACTCAGTAAATCTCAGGAGGAAGATAATGTTATTTTTCTCATTTCCAAGACCTAAGGGGCTCTGGTAGCACAGTGGCTAAGACACTTGACTGCTAACCAGAAGGCTGGCAGTTCAAACCCATCAGCCACTCCTTTGAAGGAAGATGGGGCAATCTACTTCCGTAGTGATACTGCCTCGGAAACCCAAGGAGGGGTCGCTATGAGTTGGGTCCAACTCGATGGCACATAACAACAACAACAACAAGGGGCCTACTCACCATTGCTCCTAAGTACTGACAATTGGACTAGTTGACACCCCTCATTATCAACCAATGCTATTTTAAAAAGCTTCTAAAGACCTGTATCAGAGGTACACTCAGTGCCATTAAGTCAATTCTACCTCACAACAAGCCCCATTGGGTTTCCAAGGCTGTAAATCTTTATGGGAGGAGACTGTTCCATCTGTCTCCCATGGAGCAGCTGGTGGTTTTGAACCACCAACTTTCTGGTTAGCAGCCAGATACTTTACTACACCACTATAGCTCCTTTTCCTTATACTATAAAAATAGAATTGCTATACTTAAGGAAATTACCTTCTAGAAAACAGGTGGAATCATCAAGAAAAAGATAAACAAAATAAAATACAGACAGAAACACAACAGCAGAGAGTGCTAACTGATGAAGAGCCCAGAACAGTATCTTTGTATTTTTTAGTTCACCCAGGAAGGGCCCAGCAGTGATCTATGTTAAACAGAGGCTGTTCAAAAAGCACAACACTGTAGTTCAAGACGTGCACTGTTTAATTAAAGAACATGTGAAAGTAGGCAACAATTTTAATTACTGCAAGTCTAGAACTTAAGGAACTTTTAGGCATGAACATACATTCTCTGTCAAATGAAAGCACTGATTTAGTTATACATATGAGTAAACTTGGCAAAATTAGCTATTTGAAACTAAGATATTTAATCAGATATTTAAGACCAAATGACAAAGAAGAGTACAAAATCAAAGACTGTTTCAGAGTGTCAGCTTTTCCCTGGGCACCAGAACATCCTGACTTCAGCAGGAAGGCTGGGTTTTACAGGGAGCCCATTATACACACTAAACAAGTTGCAACAAGTTAAACAAGTAAGAACTTCCAGCCCAGGATAACTCAAGCCCACAGAGATGAAATCTGACTCTAGGCACAAGCACCTGACAAAGAAATGGAGCAATAAGCAGACAGAACAAGAAACTTTACCTCTTCTCTTATCAAGGTGAGCACAGCTGTCTTATCTGATTCACTGAGGCAGATGCCATCCAGGGGGCTCTCACCTCCACAGGCCACAGACACAGGTGCCTTCTCCACAAGGGGCTCCACCAGTCCCTGTGGAGAGCAGAGGTCACAGTTAATATTCCCAGACTTCAGCTTCTGAATCCTAAGTACCCTTCAATCACTTCCTCACTAGTAAGTTGATCACACCCTTTAAAAGCATGTGTGTTGGGGAGGGATCTAGTTACAGTATTATCTAAAGAAAAACTATTGTGATGATTATCAGGGTCGCCTTAGCTTCTGTTGAACAGATGGGCAGATGTTTTCTTCTTACCCAAAAGCTCAAGGAAGTATCACTGGAACGTACACGCAAAAAAATGTTATAACTGCAAATGTTTTCTTACATCTATATTTACACACACAACTCAGGAAGTTCACCAAAGAATCATATGCATAAAACAGAAAAGACTTCCATAGTTAATACCTCATTTTTCAGGTTTCTGGGAGTGATGGGTTCCATGTAAACAAATTGTCCAAAAAAAGTGGTGGCTGATCCTTTTAAGTACTGATGCTTTGTCTGTTTTTTTTTTTTTAGTCAGTTACTTTGTATAGACATCCTTCTACAGTGTTAATATTACTAACTTTCAGGCTAAGTTGGCAGACATGGCAAGTACAGCTGAACTCCTCCCCAACTCCTGGATGGTTCAGGGCCATCATGAACCAACTGCTCCAGAGTGATGTGCTGTGAGCCAGTGACATTTAGTGGGCACCATTATTTGCTCCTAAAAACAGTGGCCACATATATGTCAAAGTCTGTGCCTGCACTTCCGTTTTTGGCTCTTCCTGTTAAGTGTTTGGCTCTTGATCCTTGGCACAGTTAGCGGGCCCACTCCTGGCAGCCTTCACCTTTCGATGTGCTGATTCACTTCTCTCATAAACTCAGGTTCCAGAGCCACACTGGGTAACCATTCTGTTTTTCAGAAGAACATAGACTCCGTACTTTTTTCTTTCCTGAAAGGCATCTTTTGGGTTTATTTCCTCTCACCTATGAAACCAAATCTTTTTATAACTGTGTGATCTAAAAGTTTGGAGATATCCAAAATGCAGCTATGGTGACGTGGGAACAATCTCAGGGAGGCAAGGTTAAATGTGACTGTAACTGATCAATTGGTTATCGATCATAAGTAATCAACTCCATAGTACTGTGTTTGAATCAAGACTGAACAGGAAGTCCAAGGTCAGCTTAGTATGGTGGCTTTTAAACTTTTCAAGGTCACTACTGACTCACTCTGTGTCTAGAAAATGCTCAAAAACACCCACATAATTTTTGCATACAGCTTCATAGTCCCCATCCATGAATTTTATCCAAGGGCCCAATATAGGAATTCCTGGTTCAGAGCACGTTAAAGGGTAAAGGAAAGGGTCACATGCTGTAAGTGCCCAAATCCAGCAGCATTTGAGGCAGCCCACCACGCCAGCAGGGATCTGAGGGCCTCCAGACATTCTGTCTTGGGGTACATCTATCACTAGAGTCAGAAGCCACTTGCAGTGGGCAGCCTCTAAAATGACCCCCAGTGATTCCTGTGTCCAGGTATTAATCCTGGGTAATACCCTCCCCTGGGCTGTAGGCTGGAATTAGCAACTTGCTTCTAGAGAAGAGTGTGATAAGAGTAATGGGATGTCATTTAGAGATTAGGTTACAGAAAGACTTTGGCTTCATCTTGCTTACTCTCATTCACCTTCTAAGAGAAGCCAGCTGCGATGTTATGAGTGCTGTTGGAGTCTATTCTGATGCACAGTGACCCTGGATGACAGAGTAAGAACTGCCCCAGTTTCTTAGGCTGTAATCTTTACAGGAGTAGATCACCAAGTCTTTTCTCTGGTAGAATGGCTGGAGCATTCAAACTGCTGACCTTTGATTAGCAGGCAAACATGTAACCATTGAGCCACCAGCGCTCCTTATGTTGTGAGTAACTCTATGGAAAGGTCCACAGAGTAAGGAACTGATGTCTCTGCCAATAGCCAGTGATGAATAATCTGAGACCTGCTGGTATGGACTGAATTGTATTTCTCAGAAATTTATGTTGAAGTCCTAACCCCTGGTACCTGTGGAATGATCTTGTTTGAAATAGGGTCTTTGAAGTTATCAGTTAAAAGACGGTTACAGAGGAGTACACTTGATCCTAATCCCACCTGAGTGGTGCCCTTATAAAAGAGGAGAACAGACACAGAGAGGCAGAAAGCCAAGGAACACGTGGGGCTACCAGAAGCTGGGAGAGAACAGGGTCCTTCCAACATCCTGAATTTGTACTTCCAGCCTCCAGAACTATGAGACAATAAATTGCTGTCATTTTAAATCACTTTGTGGTATTCTGTTGCAGGAGCCCCTAAGACACTGAAGTATCTATTAATAGCCATGTGAGTGAGCTTGGAAAGGGATCTACTGCAGAGTGAGCCCAGAAAGGACTGCAGCCCCCTGGATCTCTTGATTGCAATTGTTGTAGTTACGGTTATGTGCCAGCTTGGCTGGGCCTGGTTCTGAGTGGCTGAGCAGGTAGATGTAGTTATCCCTCATGATGAGACTGGTCATCAACTCCATGGTGGAATCTGCTGTGAGCTTCTGAATAGCTGCCTTGGGGATGTGGTCTGCTTCTAGTATATAAGACTCTTTGAGAAAGGCCTGAGCTTTTTGGCACAGTAAGATCTTGCTGAGTCTCCATTCAGCAGCTTGTTATATTGACTGCTGACCTTGGACTGTTTCTGTACTTGCACTAGTGGCTTGCCATGTTGCTTGATAATCTTGGGACTGTGCCACTTTATTTGTTGACCTTGGGTTTGTCAGCCTCAGTGGCCAGTAGCTGCCTGAGTTAAGAGATGCCTCTAGCTCCAATGGGCCAGGAGCAAGAGGCAGAGCAGAAGCCCAAGGTCAAGGGGCCTTTACCCAGTCCTTAGAGCTGGCCCTTTGAATTCTGACATCTAGCCTCCAAAACTGTAAGAGAATACATTGCTGTTTGTTAAAGTCATCCACTTGTGGTGTGTCTGTTATACCAGCAGTAGAGAACCAAAACAGCAGTGTTGTGAGAGACCTTGAGTCAGAGGCACCCAGCTAAGCTGTGCCCAGATTCCTGACCCACAAAAACTCTGAAATAATACATGTTTGTTGCTTTAAGTTGCTGAGTCCTAGAGTAATTTGTGGGAGCTCTGGTAGCATAGTGCCTTAAGGCACTTGACTGCTAACCAGAAGGCTGGCAGCTCAAACCCACCAGCCGCTCCTCAGAAGGAAGGTTGGGCAATCTACTTCTGTAGTGATACCGCCTCGGAAACCCAAGAAGGGGTCGTTATGAGTTGGGGCCGACTCGATGGCACATAACAACAATAGAGTAATTTGTTACATAGCAACAGACAACCAATATATCCCTGGACATTTGAATCATCTCATTAACCTCCTGGGCTATGTTCTCATCAAGAAACTCTCTCTCATATTCTTGCTTCCCACATAACTTGGCTACAGGAAGATAATGCACTAAGTTAAGCTGACACATTTGGTCACTTGTGGTTACATTTCCAATCATAAATTAATACATTTTAATATCAGTCTTTTGTGGCTTTTCATCATTCTAGTCAGAATACCCAAATTGAATCAAGTCTAGGAAACAGCATCCCTATATTTCTCATGGTCATCATGTTAGCAAGAATTGGTAAATAAGTCCCCAAAACTCTTGTTATTGTTGTTGCTGTTGTTAGGTGCTGTTGAGTCAGTTCCAACTCATAGTGACCCTATCTACAACAGAATGAAACACTGCCTGTTCCTGCACCATCCTCACAATTGTTGCTGGGTTTGAGCCCATAGCTGTAGTCACTGTGTCAATCTCATTGAGGGTCTTCCTCTTTTTCGCTGACTCTCTACTTTTCCAAGCACGATGTCCTTCTCCAGGGCTTAGTCCTGCCTGGCAACATGTCCAAAGTATGTGAGATGAAGTCTCACCATCCCTGTTTCTAAGAAGCATTCTGGCTGTACTTCTTTCAAGACAGATTTGTTTGTTCTGGCAGTCCATGGTATATTTAATATTCTTCGCCAACACCATAATTTAAAGGCATCAATTTTTCTTTGATCTTCCTTATTCATTGCCCAGCTTTCGTATACTAAGAAAACTACTGAAAATACCATGGCTTGGGTAGGCATTAAAGTGGTATCTTTGCTTTTTAACACTTCAAAGAAGTCTTTTGTAGCAAATTTGCCCAATGCAATACATTGCTTCATCTCTTGACTGCTGCTTCCATGGGAGTTGACTGTGGATCCAAGTAAAACGAAATCCTTGACAACTTTAATCTTTTCTCCATTTAACATGATGTTGCTTATTAGTCCAGTTATCACTCATCCAGTTGTCAATCTGCTAGCTCACTTAGCAAAAGCATAATGTCAACTAATGTGGTATCTGGAAGACATAGCATCATTCTGAGTTGGAGGTGGAAATGAGACCCTGGATGGTAGGGAATGAGTCCAGGTGAGTGTGTGCTCTGCAGCCTGCAGTGCTCCCTGACCACACCCTCTGCCTGGCTACACGTCACAAGCCTCACCACTCTACAGCTCTTAGGAATAATGTATGCTGGGGTCAATTGTAATCACTTTTTCCAGTCCCCAAGGACTTAACTTTTTTACATTTCTTACTTCTTTATATTGTTTATCCAACAGACGAGAAAGCCTAGAGAAGCTACTATTACAAGAACTGGCCCTTCCATCTCTTCCTAGGCTGGGTATGTGTTTAATAAAGACTTGCTAAATCAATCAACCACACTCTTCCATTCTTCCAGTGTCATGTGAACTAATCTTTCTCTAGAGTCCCCAGGTGGTACAAATGGTTCATACGCTCAGCTGGTAACTGAAAGGTTGGAGGTTTGAGTCTAGTCAGAGATACCTTGGAAGAAAGGCCTGGTACTCTCTTTCTGAAAAGTCAGCCACTGAAAACTCTATGGAGCACAGTTCTTTCTACTCTGACACACAGGGGTTTTCTATGGGTGAGAGTCAACTCAATGGCAACTGGTAATCCTTCTCCAGGTCCCACAAAGCATTCAAAATTTAGGACCAATAAAGACTGATTTGTAGGCAGAACTCA